CCCTTGATGGCACTGTGAGGGTGCATGCCCCGGGGAACGGTAAGCTCCCAGAGCTTGATAGTCTTGTCCAGACTGCCACTGACAAGGTCACGGCCATTGGGCGCGAATGCGACCGAGTAAACACTGTCCTTGTGGCCATCGGGGTTCTCCAGGCGCTCCACCAGGTATCCAGTTGTAGTATCCCAGACGCGCACGCTCTTATCCAACGAACCTGCAGCCACGTAACGGCCATCCGGAGACATGGCCACAGTAGTGACACCATCCTCAATGCTGAGGGTGTAGACAAGCTTGCCATCGAGAATATCCCAAAGGCGCACGGTCTTATCCCCACTGCCAGAGGCGATGAATCGACCGTTGCCAGCAAAGTCCAAAGAGTAGATGTCCTGCTCGTGTCCACTGAAAATGTGCTTGATGGTGCGCTGGTTGATATCCCAAACCTAAAGCGCCAATCACATTCAGTCAGCGATCTTCGCACATGCTACGGGTTCCATATAAACCGAAAACTTACGCGAATCTGCTTATCCTCGGCACCGGTTGCAAGATATTTGCCATCCGGACTGAAGCAAACGCTGCGAATGTACAGGTCGCCGTCCTTGTCGACATTCTCATCCTGAAGAGTGGCCACATTCTGACCGGTGGTCACGTCGAAGATTTGAGCCGAGCGGTTGCAGCCGGTCGCCAAGTACTTGCCATCCCGGCTGAAGCGCACACAGCAAACGACACTATCGTGATTCAAATGATGCACCAGCTCCACATCGAGGACACGCTGGACCTCAGGGTTGAACACGGCGTACCAATCGGAACCCTCACGCTTCTGCGACGGAGGTAAATCATCGGGATTCCAGTTTGCCAGCATGTTTCCCGGACGTTCGGCAGTGCGGCCGAGAGGGGGGTTCGGAGGAGTCGGGCGAGGGATCTGAGGGGATGCACGGGGATCCGGGTAGGCGATGTGCGTTTGCTGGGGGGTACCAGGGCCTGGGGGAATACGGCCACGACCCTGACTTTTACCGGGGCCTGGGGATGCAGTGGGAGGTGGAGGCGGTCCATAGCCTGGGAGATTTAAACGATCCAACGGGTCAGCGGACTGGGCGATGAGTCTCATAAACACGGCGACATACCGTTCACAGCAGCGCCAGCCGGATATCCTCCAAAGGAGCTCTGCTGGGGTTGCGGTGCGCCAGGCTGAGCGACCGAAGCAGGCGGTTGAAGGGGATGCTGGGGAGGCTGCTGATCCTGGGGAAGGGAAGGTGCAAGACCGGGGCCACTACCTGATGGGTTGGTCATGATACCACCAAACAGATTGCTGGGGCCGTGGCCCAAGGCAGGTGGCTGGGAAGGAGCTGTATGAGCCGCACCGGGTCCGCCGATATGGGAAGGGATGGTTTGCACGCCACGCGCTTCAAGTTCATGTCGCAGCATTCGAATCTCAGATTCATAACTAGAAAAAGAAAAGAAGATTGTAATGTCAGAGAGGAGTATTGGAGCTTTCAAGAGAGGTAAAGGATACATACTCTTGCTTAATCTTGATCTGCGCCTGTTCCAGTTGATAGACCTTTTGACGGATCATCTCCATCTCTTGGAGTTGACCAGTCACTGCATGATCTGTCAGTTAGATAACATTTCAGCGAATGTCGGAACCCATGGAGCGCAGTCATTTGGGGGAGGGGGGGGTGTTTGTATAAAAAGGATTGGAGAGAGAGAGAGAGAGCTCAAGGCACCAAATGGCCTGAGTATAAAGAGAGGGGTAACAATGTGTCAGAGGGGACAGGTAACATACACTGATGCTCAAATTCACCGGTGTTTCGTGACTGGCTCTCAAACTCCTGGCGCAGTTGATCCAGCAACTCCGTCAGACGGGAGTTGGGAGCGGGCACCATGCCACGATGAGCGTTGTACATGGTAGGATATTTTTTTTCCCCTTCTTGTTTTTCTAAAGTCACAGAGAGAGGGACAAGAGCGATGATTGGATAGTAGCTCTGGGTCAGCAAATGAGATCGCGACCAAGGATTTGACCTGGACTCAATGATCTTGATCACTGAGGCTTCAATGCTTGGTGGATAGCACCACGCAGCTAGCCACAGCGATAGCGGGCGATGCAATATAAACTGGGGAGATGAGAATGGAGGGGAAGGGTGTAGTGGTAAGAGGGGTGGAAGAGGCTGGCAGATGACACTTTAAAGCGGGAAGGTTTGAGTTTGGGGGGAAGGCGGCAGTGGTTGACGCGAGAAGCGAGTTGATAGGCGAGAAGCGCAGCGGGTCTTACCGTCGACTACTTTTGACTAGTTAACAACTAAAGATACAAATTTATTAAAGTAGATAATTACATCTGTAAATGAATAAAACATTATACACTATATGCTCAATAATTCTGGGAGTTTTTTTTTTTTTTTTTGGCTCTAAGTACTTTTTTCAGATAGTCTAGTTAACTACCTAGGTAGTTACTATAACTGTTAGTTGCACGTTGTACATCCATGGATGGGTCCAGATCATGAGGTTCACATAAAACCGGTATTATTCCAATGGCTGAAGATACCCGAGAATACCAGGGAATACTTGGATCTACACCGGCAAGTGTGGGCAGTGGAGGTACCTCTGAGTACGGGAAGCAAAAGTGGAGCTGGTCCGTGCAGTACCAATTTAGTATTGTCATTACGGAGTACAAAGCGGAGTAAGGGGTTCTTTGGTCATTATTGCCTGATCCATCAGGCCACAGAAGGCCATAACCACAGAAGGCCATAGCCACAGATAGCCACGGCATGATCTTCCAGGCATCAAGGCATGAACTGTGGCAAACCAGGGGTAACTTTTAGTGACTAGGTAGACCAAGGTAGTTAGGTATGTATGTATAGAAAAGTGAAGATATACCAAATATATATACTATAAGATAGAGAACTATATTTTATATATGCTGTATATAATATAATCCCAACATCAGACCATTCCCCCTGGATCAATTGGCTTATTAAGAAAAGAAAGAAGAAAAAAAAAAAAAAAAAAAAAAGGTGGCATCGCAACGGCTGTGGCGGTTCCGCACTGGTGTGACTACTTTGTTATTCGCCGCGTTATCTCCTTTTTCTTTTTTTGTTCCTTCAAGTACCACTTCAATTCTTCCCTCTCTCCTTTCCCCATCCTATCTGTGTCTTCAATCATGGATATCATTCTCGAATTATGGGACACCTTCATTGGTGATCGCCTCTATTCGACACTCCTCCCCCGCCTCGCTCTCTTCGTCCGTCTCGCTGCCGGCCTTTGTCAATGCGGCCGCCAACACTTCAATGGCCCTTTTTGGCCCGGAACCTTATGTCTATGAACAGGCTACACAGATGATCTACCTGGAACCTTCGAAATACGCATACCTGAGTGCTTGGCCTAGGAACAATGTCTACCGTCAATTCACGAGCTTTTTCTTGATTACTTGGTAATGCGCCAATCATGCCACTTCTTTTCCTGTGTCAACACAAGAACTAACAATCAATTAGGCTGTTTGGTCTGCTCGTCTACTTCTTGGTCGCAACGCTTTCATACATCTTTGTCTGGGACAAGACAACCTATAACCACCCCAAATTCCTCAAGAACCAGATTGGGTTGGAGATCAGACAGGCCATGGCCGCAATGCCCCCAATGTCACTGTTGACAGCTCCTTTCTTCGTTCTGGAGGTCCGCGGATACGCCAAACTTTACGACACCACCGCCGAAGAGCCTTTCCCATACTACAGCCTCATCCAAATCCCCTTCTTCATCTGCTTTACCGATTTCTTCATCTACTGGATCCACCGCGGCTTACACCACCCCCGTGTCTACAAGACCCTACACAAGCCTCACCACAAATGGATCATGCCGAGCCCTTATGCCTCGCACGCCTTTCACCCGCTCGATGGCTGGTCCCAGAGTGTCCCGTACCACGTCTTCCCCTTCATCTTCCCCCTGCAGAAGTTCGCCTACGTCTTCCTGTTCGGATTTATCAACCTATGGACCGTCTTCATTCATGATGGCGAGTACGTTGCCAACAGCCCCATCGTGAACGGTGCGGCCTGCCACACCATGCACCACTTGTACTTCAACTACAACTATGGACAGTTTACCACTCTCTGGGACCGTCTGGGTGGCAGCTACCGCAAGCCCAATGAGGAGCTTTTCCGCAGAGAGACGAAGATGGACGACAAGGAGTGGAAGCGCCAGGCCAAGGAGATGGAGTCGATCCTCAAGGATGTCGAGGGCGAAGACGATCGCAGCTACTCCGCCGACAAGAAGAATCTTTGAAACGGCATGACATTCTTCACGACTTCACAACGATTGGTTCTAGACTACAGGGACCATTCAAAGCCCATTGCAGACTCCCCGATAGACGGGACTGTATGTCTTGGCTTTCTTAGCCTGGGTTTTGGATTTGGACTTTCTACATCTCCCTGTCGTTTCCCGTGCCATTTTTTACGCTAATTCAAGTACATTAATTCTCCTTGCGCACCTCTTACCTGTTTTAATATATTCGAAACTGACCGGCGGCACTCTGGCCTACTGGTTATTTTACCCCATTCTGTACATAATGTTCGGGTTTTTTCTTTTTTTTTTTCTGTGGGCAGTCGAAATGCACTTGGTTAGGACTTTTCTGTACATTTATTTTTCTTCTATGTGATGCAAGTTCATGGGTTCATCTTAAAAGCCGAAAATTGATACAGATGCATGATACTTTCAAATCTACGAAACAAGAAACAAGAAATACCAAACTAGTTCAAAGTTATGCAATAAGATGGAAATTAATATTGAGAATCATAATCCATATCCATTTTTGGTTTCCGTCAAGTACTCTAGCCCCGAATATTCAGACACTCCTTGGAAGAATGGCCGGCCGAAATCTAACAGACCAGACCACCTGGTCTTCGCGAGGCAAAGACCAAGACTGCGATCACTCCCACCTATGAAAACAAGCCATTTGGTGATGATCCAACATAGGGGAAAGGGCTTCTCTGATGGAACGAGAATGATGCGCACCTTAACACTCACTACCGGAGAGCCTGTATGATAACACTCCGCGATCCGTCAGTCGCATGAAACCCATTCTCAGCCAAATCCTGCTCTTGACTCGGCCAGACCTCCGCACTAAACTGACCGGATTCAGCAGAAGCAAGTCGCTTGTGAAGAGCAACCACTCGATCGGCCTGGTGAGAATCCCCACACTCCAGCACCGTAAGCTTGGCCTTCAACTTGAATGCCAGAGTGAGAATGCGGTGGTAGAAGATATCCTCAGGCATGCAGTCTTCCACCCCGGAGCCCGAGTGTGGAGGTACAAGTGCCAGCTTTGGCTCGAAGCGCCGTACACTGCGCGCAGTGGTGCCGTTGCGGAACTCCATTTTGGATATGTAGGGCGGGTTGGAGATTAACAGGTCACACTCACTTTCTTGGTCGGGTGATGGGATGTCCAATCCTCCAAAATTGGGGGGTTGAGTTTGGAGTATGGACTCAATGGACGGTACTGAATCGTCACTACCATGTCCGAGGACATCGGCGCGATAGAAGTGGATGTCTGTGCCTGCGGTGGGTGCCAATTGGCTCAATTTCACGTTATGCTCGAGGTTCTTCTGGGCTAGTATTAAGGCTGTAGGACTGATATCCACTCCCGTTATCTCCAGCTGGAAATGGGGGGCCAGTAATGCGTGCAGAAGAAGTGGTATGCAGCCTGTGCCAGTGCAAAGGTCAATGACACGCAAGGATCTCGTCTGATTGGAAGACTCGGACTTGTCATTGCGGTCCAGGGCCATTTGACGGACTAATTTGGCCGCTTGGTATGTATATGATTCAGTTTCTGGTCTACAAAACGTTGTCAGCAAGAGATATGGCTTTTAAATAGAATAAAAAATTCTGATAGGCAGACCTTGGGATCAGAACGCCTCTGCGGCAAAGAATTTCCAAGTCACCGAATGGTTGATCTCCAAGGATGTATTGGAGAGGATATCCTCTAGATCGCATCTGACACATAGATCTCAAGAGGCTTCTCCATCCCTCTTTGGAAAGAGCCTGGCTATCACGTACTGCTCGCTCGCGTAGCCAGCGAAGTTCGTTGCGAGCAGAATCGATTGTGCGGCATTCTTTGAGGAGTACAGGAAGAAGATAATTTTCCCGTTGTGCTTTTCTAATGACAGAAAAGGGGATTCGGGGCATTATGGGAACAACATCAGAGTTGTTGTCAGTCCAGGACCGCTGATGCCAAGAGATTCCGTCGATGCCAAGACTGTTTTGTGACTTTCGTATGTGAGACTTCCCCAATATCACACTCATCCTCCATGCAACTATCTCTACTGTCTCTTGTCACAGAAGTTCGGCATGTTCGGCGGTACTGCAATAAGGCGTCATTGACAATTTACTCGTCCTTCGTAGCTGCAGCATATGATGCCTCCTCGCGGTTGGCAGCCATTGATCTTCGAATGTTGATGAAGGGTTTGGGTTATGAAAGTGCAGGAGATAGGGTAAAATTCACGATGGTGGGAGAAGTGAAAAGTACATCTTAAGGATCTAAGGAGCGAAACACTAATAGGATAACTAAACCAACATTAGTACTCCAAATGTAGTTAAATCACCGAATGCCCATTTCATAACACATAAAAACTAGATAATTGAGAGTATGACGGAAAAAGAATTCTAGGTATAGCCTGCCCAGACTCCAAATACACCCATAGTATGCAAGACATATACGGAAGAGGAAAAAAGATTTGTGAATCAAAGGCCTTAAAGAGCCAAAAGAGCTCCCACACCAGCAAGGCCCGCAGCCAGATGTTTTGGCATAGCGGTTGCCTTAGGGATGGCCATATTTCCGGAGGCAGACGCAGAGCCAAAGAGGCCGGATCCTCCTCCAATGCCTCCAATGCGAGCAGCGGTGCCACCAACCGGCGCATTAGTCACTGAATTCGAGACTGCAGTGGCACCGGGGACGGAATCGGTGCCAGTCCCGATCTCCAAGATATCATTCTCGGTGGCGTTGAAGTTGGTGCTGGCGAGGGAGATCTCATTATTGGCGAGATCGTATACCACATACGCACTGCGCAGGAACGTATCTCCCAAGACTGCTGTGCTGCTTCCAGCGGGAACAATACCGAAAACGCAGGCCCGTTTGCCGTTTCGGAAGTAAAGACCGCCAACATCGATGACCATCTCCTTGATGCCCACGTTAATCGTCGGGGATGAGAACGTGTAACTGAGGGTAACGTTGTCATCTGCCATGCTGCATTCAACGTAACCAATGCCACTCTCCGATTCGTAAGAGACCCCGAGATCATCGTAGATGTCCTGAACAAGGGCGTCTGGAAGGTACGTAAGGGAGCTTCCCGAGTCCAGCAACACGCCCACTGGAATGGAACTGGAAGAGTAGGTATTTTCACCAGAAGAATTGGTGAGGGACAATTTAGTGAGCGCAATAATGAACTCCGAGTATAGTCCACGGACCTTCTGGACGGGGACTGTTTGTAGGGCGCCGTGATATTTTTTAGTGTTGACTCCACCAAACAAAATCGAGCCGGTGTTCGCATCTAGGTCGTTCAGCCAGAGACTGTAGGCATTTGATTGGATTATTCCTTTGTCGACCATCGCCTTGGGCAGGTTGGCATAAGCCGAGTCTCCATTTCTGCCGACCTGAACTTCATTCACGGTGTATCCTATACCCAGCACACCCTCTGTATACAAACAACTTATGTTAGTTCTGTGATCCTGGTATATCTGACACAAAATCACTCACCTGGGGAACCAGATGCAAACCCAGTGCCAAATTGGAAGTCTTTAATAGTTGTGCCTCCGATGGTAAGAGTGTCGGTCACATAGTCTCCAGCGGCACCGGAACCATCGGCATAGCTGATATTGAAGTCCGAGTTCACAAAGGAATATGAGGAGGAAGAGGATGAGTCGTAAGTACCGGATTCAGCGCAGACGTTTTTGGTGGATGCACAGAGAGTAGAATTTGGCGTATTGCACCATAAATCACTACTTCCGGTGTCGAGAACCAGACGTACAGTCTGTTCGGGGGTGCCTAGAGTGACATTACAGAAGTATAAAGTTTCCTAGGTAGAAACATTAGTATATATTCCGTCAGATTATATATTCTCTAAATATAGATAGATATGTGTACCTCATTGTCCAATGCCTGACTGACTGTCGACCGTTTCCTCCTTGCTTGATCTCTAGCGACGGGGTTGGAGACATCGTTTCGTTGAATATCCATTTGTACCACCGCGGGATTATCTCGTCGATGGAGGGTTATGCCCCAGACTGGCATCACCAGGCCAGTGACCAATAGGATCCAACTATTTTTCATGGTGCCGATCGTCCTCCCCGAATTCGGCCCGAATTAGTGATTTCGAACGGTTTAAGAGACGATATTCCCAAGTGGGTTTGGATGAGGATTGGTGAACGGTAAGAGTAAGGAAGAAGTTGAGAAAGGGAAAAGCAAAAAGAGTCAAGAAGATGAAATGGTCATGGAGATCCTCGGCTCCAACTATTACTAGTATTACTAGTATTAGCACTAGTACTGTCATAAGAATACTAATACTAACACTAATAGTACTATAGTTAACTAGTTATAATAATAGTACTATTAGTAGTTATATAGTGTATTAGTTAGTAACTATATAGTTAGTTAGTTAACTAGTTAACTAGTTAGTTATAGTAGTTATAGTTATTAGATATATTTATTGTATTAGTAGTTATATAGTGTATTATATAGTACTATTAGTATACATATGTATAGTTAGTGTATGTATTAGATATACTGTTGCCTGAACGGGTAACCCGGAAGTCTCCCAAGTGCTGTCGTCACCAGATATAATTTAGTAAAGGCCTTTTATAATATACTCCATATATATAATAGTAATCTAAAAAGTTACCAGTTCTTATCCTTATTATATACCCTTATGTTGTAGGTATACCCACATATAGCACACGTACAAGACATACGTAGTAGAGGCGATGACGCGGTTGACTCTCCACTTTAGTCCATGGGACTCTTACACGGAGTACTCCGGATGGTATATACAACATACTCATAGTAACATAGATATTCATACTATTAGATATTGTACATTCTTACTATAATCTCTCTATTGTAATACACTGGCCACTTATAGACCCATCGTTTCCCGAATTTGCTGCATGGTCACCCGACTGTTGGCCCGCGCTGCTTCGGCGCCTTCCTCAGCCACTGACTCCAGGTAACCAGTCTGATCCTCCATGATCGTAATATACCGATCTCGGATTTCTTGCAAATGATATGCGATCCGGTCTGCAACATGTTCCTTGAGTGACCGGAGACTGGTGCTGTGGAAGTCAGTCGCAATCTCCTCACATGGTACACCTTCCAGGTGGCTGAGGATCTCAATAAGATTAGACACCCCAGGCCGACGCGTCGGGTCGTAGGTGATGTTTGCTTCCGAGTCGGTCAGGGCTACCTTGACTTTCTGACGGATTTCAGCCGGCGAATCGGTAAGGATAATCCGAGATTTCTCATCGGCGTGCGATTTGGACATCTTGGAAGTGGGTTCCTTGAGGGACATCACTCGCTTGGCAGGAGCTAGTCAAGTTAGTGTCTGGTCTGTTCCTTCTGTTCCTTCTGTCCCTTCTGACATGGGCAACTGTTATCTTACATATCAATGCCTCTGGGATGGGGAAAATTGGCCCGTAGAGGTGGTTGAAGCTGTTCGCGGTATATCGGGAAAATTCTAGGTGCTGTCTTTGGTCTTCCCCAACTGGGACATGGGTAGCTCTTGGGTGATCGTTAGTTAAAAAAAATCGCCAATGTAAACGAGAAACATACCTGTGCACAAGGATATCAGCAGCTTGTAGTACTGGATAGGAGAAAAGACCAAGTCGCAGCTGTGCCCGTGCCGTCGAATCATCCAGTGTGGCATCGTCGGGCAGTTGTAGCTTGCTCTGGACGGATGTCAATAGAATGCCCATATGTAAAGAAAAAAAAAGCGATAGGGCCGCTCACCTTCCACTGTGTCATACGCGACAGATACCCCATGGAAGCCACTGTACTGAGAATCCACATCAACTCGGTATGTGCCGGCACCTGATGAAATGTCAATATAAGTCTCGATTGTGCTTAGCAGCTAACAGTTAGAAGACGGAACCTACACCGGACTGGTAGAATATTGTCGAGCGTTTAGGATCCAGGCCCACAGCAAGCAATGTTGCAAAGGCCTCTTTCCGCCATCTCTTCAATCGAGCTGGATCTTGCGGTACTGTCAATGCATGTAGATCAACAATAGAGAAAAATAACTTGGTTCCTTCGGCTGCATCCTGCTGGAGCTTTACCCATTGATGTAAAGCTCCTAGATAATTTCCCAAATGAGGCACCCCAGTTGGCTGAATCCCGGAAAATATAATGGGCTCTTGTGCTGGCGTGCTGTTTGAGCTATTCCATCGATCGCATCTCCTTTGGAAAAGGGAGAGCCTGCTTGGGCGGATATGGAGGTGCTTTGCACGCAATGACCCCAGCGAGGTAAATTCATGTCGCATCGCGTGGGTAGACATCTCCAACAAACACTCAAACGGTGCGAGAATGGGAAATTTCAAGTGCAATCACTTCGTACTGTACTTTCGTAGACCCTAATGCCCCCGAAAAACGCGACACGCGAAATGTGTCACGTGACCAATATCGTGTCGGATGAAACTGCACTGGGCATCACCTGGGTGGGCATTGTCTACATCTATGACAACCAAATTCCACATATTCCACAGGAATATCATATCGAAGTGGTAGTACGTCTATTAGGGACCCGGTTGGGGCGAGCAACCTCCTTGCAGTATATACAAGTTTCCTTTCATCTGGGCTGAAATGAGAATAGTAAAACAGTAAAATACATATGGCCTAGATCAAGAAGGCTTTTGAAAATAATGAAAACAGCGCCTGTAGCAAAGACACCAAGTCCAGATGTTCACGGGTATACAAGTTCAACAGTAGATTACCATTCCATCTATAGACGCTTGCGCTCAGCGAATCGTTCACTGTTCAAAGTATCGAATATCGTGCCTGGGGCCGAGTTGTCCTTTCGCTGACCGAATTGTGCGAGCTCGGGGCGAAGAGCTTCTTCCACCTCGGCAACCGAGTCATCCATGGTCTTACCAGCATCTAGTACAGAAAATATGGTTAGTACCCTGATCATTAAAGACGCTAGCTATCCAGGCGGGTGGGGGGAAAGGGTAGCCCATACCAAGACTGTCGTGTTCCCAGACATTTGCCTTCATACCGACTCCATAAAATGCGTGCTTCCGGAGAAATGCAAGCCATGCCTGTACCGCTTGTGGGTTTCCATCCTTGATCTGAATCAATCGACGGAGGGTGATTCGTTCAAAGTTCTCTTGACTCTTCTTGTGCACGAAGTTGCTTCGGGGTACGGTCCAGCGTTCAACGATGCGGGGGAGAGGCACAGGCCCGGACACGGGGAGGTTGAGGTAGTAAGCGGCACGAATGGCAAAGTCGGTGAAGAACTCCACGTTACGGACACTGTATGATCGCAATTGAAGGTCGCAGACTGGAAGGCCGTATTCCACCTTCCTCCGTAAGGGCCGTAGATATATAGCTTGCACGCTTCGTGGAAGTCGGCTGTCCTCGCCGAATGCTCCTAACCGTTCAGACCTAACCGAACTGTGAGCATTCATCTTTGATCTATTTTTGATATTGAGCCAATTGAGCCAATTGCCTTGGATACTAACCATTCTTTCACACTAGACTTGGTGATTTGCTCGGCTTCGGTCGGTCTGGATTACCTCAATTAGCGACAAAGCCAAAATACTAGATTCGAAGGGTTTCTTACGCTACTGGAGCAGTCGACGCAGGGGCGGTAGCGGCGGGAGTCGCGATGGGTGTAGCAGGAGTAGGGGAAACAGGGGCAGCTTCTGCAGGAGCAACTGGTGTAGAGGTCGGTGTTGGGTCTTGAGCGGGTGTCTTCTCTTGCTCCGGCGGAGTTGGCTGGGTTGGGGATGATAGAGAGCGGAATGACACAGGGGCCTTTCAAGGAGGTGTTAGCACAGCAATCATGAATCGCAGAATAAGAACATACCCGGAGGCGCTTGCCCACTCCAATTAAAGAGCGCGATGTGTATGAGAACATTGTTAATGGTTGATTTTGAGGAAGATCCGTTGCTGGCGGATGGGTTTTTTTCGGGGAGCGAGTCCAGGGCGGTGAGTGAGGAAGGATATAGAGAAACTGAAACTACAATGGACGGTGATATCTCTATATTATACTATTATACTATTATACTATTATACTATTATACTATTATACTATGCGCTAAACTATTGATATAACAAGAATAAATATAAATATAGATAGACCATGATCTACAGAGTAGAGATTGATGATTGATCCAATTGTGAGTAAAAACGACTTTGTACAACCCTATGTTACTGTCGATATTTATAGTGTTCCCCCTAATAGATGATCGACTCTCTTACTCTAAGCTTTTAAACAGGATATTCTCTTTGATGAGTTAGTAGATGTGGTTATCCTCCAAGGCCACTTATCTCAAATGTTTTCTATGAATCGGATCATTGCGACCCCCCGCCAAACTAGCGACCTGGGCAATGGAACCATGTGACTCCGCACTTGGAAACGTCCCTTCTTTTTTTTTTTTTTTACTCCTACTTTCCCACTTGATATATATATATATATATATATATATATTCAAACTTCTTCTTGTATACAACACTAACGTCTGCAAAAATGACAAAGATAAACCTGTCCTCATTTGAGCGGGCCAACGAAGCGGTTTCTTATCTCAGAACCAAGTTGCCAGAGACCCTGCAAAAGCCTCAGGTTGCAATTGTATGTGGTTCAGGGCTAGGAGGGCTTGCAGATACTATTCAACCCGAGTCACGGATCGAATTTGACTACGCATCCATCCCCCACTTCCCTCGCTCAACAGGTTGGTCATCTTCTTCGGGCTTAGAGAGGAGGTTCTAACATTCCACAGTCGTTGGTCATGCTGGAAAGCTGGTTTTTGGTCTTCTCGGCCAGAAAATTCCTGCGGTGTTGATGGTTGGCCGGGCTCAGTCAGCTTAAGCCCTCATTCTGCTTGTAATAGCACAGCTGACCTTGACCTAGTTACTACGAGGGACACTCGATTGATCAGGTGGCATTCCCAATTCGAGTCTTCAAGCAGTTGCAAGTGAATACGGTTGTCTGTATGTTCTACATGATCCTTAATAACCCGAAGATTGACGTTATAGAACGAAGATTAATGATGTTTGGTAGTGACCAATGCGGCCGGAGGTTTGAATTCTGAGTATGCTGTGGGAGATATCGTTCTATTGAACGATGTAAGAGAAATCCTCGTCAACGGCATCGCGTGGAGTTATTCTAACATCGGGTTACAGCATCTCTTCCTCGCAGGTCTGGCAGGAACTCATCCATTGAGAGGAGCCAATGAAGATGAATTTGGAGTGCGATTCCCGCCCCTGTCCGACGCCTATGACCTTGAGCTCCGTCGCCACGTGCATCAGTCATGGAAGAAAGTCATATCACCGGAAAGCAAGAGAAAGCTGCACGAGGGTGTATATGCATTTTGCGGGGGCCCCACGTAAGTCACCTCAACACAATCCCTTCAAATCCGATTCTGATAGCATCAAGTTACGAGACGAGAGCCGAGAGCCGGATGCTTCGAATACTTGGTGCCGATGTGGTTGGTATGTCCACAGTACCGGAGATTGTTACCGCCAGACATTGTGGCCTACGAGTGCTTGCATTCAGTCTGGTCACTAACAAGGCCGTGTTGTCTCCTGTACCTCGCGGAGATGACGATTTGCTCCAGAATAAAGCAGCAGGCGAACTGAGTGCCCTTCTAGAAGAGGGCATGGCAGGACACGAAGAGGTTCTTGAAGCTGGCCGCGCGGCGGCCATTGACATGCAGGTAAGATCGTTGCATCAATCCTTGGAAGACAATGAAACTGACATTGACCCAGAAACTGGTTGTCGAAACCCTCGTGGATGTCTTTGATAGCGTTTAAGACTGGGCTTGACACAGAACGCATATGATGATCTCAGATCGTGTGAGGATCCATGTCTAGCTTGTTAGGATCCCAGCAGAGGCCATTTTGTTGAGATGTCAGCCATGGCTAACATGGGGTTGTTGCCATCCCTGGCATAGTTTGAGGAAAGTAAAGACCGAAATTTCACTTGTTCTTCCGGGTTCTCTTTGCCTGTAAGTCCTTGTAGAAGGACTTCTTTCCGCTTGTTTTGTTGGCTTGAATGTCCCTGTATTTGGCCTGGAAGCGCTTGGTGCCACGTTCGAGTGCCAATGTTTCCTCAACAAAGTTCTTCTTGCGGTCCTTCTTGGTGATACGATTGCTGAAGAACTCGGTAGGGCCCTCGATGATGGTTCCAACCTGAGAATATTCTGGCGGTTTGGCCTTGCCATTTTCCTTCTTGTAGTGACGCTTGGGATCAAGCACAGAACGCATCCGGATGAGCTGCAGATCTCTCTTAAGCTCCGAGGTCATTTCTGTCTTCGGGAGGTTGAACCACTCAGGTCCAGCAGTAGGCTTGTCCTATCGAAGGTGAGGGTTGTTAGCAATTGCCCACAGATATCGCACACCAAGAAAAGATAGTGATTATGACGAATGCTCAGAGTAACTATGAATAAAAAGGCTCTCACTGGTGCAGCACAGCCCAAGACGGACTGGTTACGCCGCATCAAGCGCTTTGCGTTGGGATATTTTCCTCATAGCAAAAAAAAAAAAAAAAAGGGAAGATAGGATAGCAAGGAAGTAACTGGGTGACTCACGGTATTCACTTTCTTGATCTCAGCCGCGCGAAGAGAGTTGGCCAACTCCTTCTGCTTTTGATCGGTGATCTTTGCAGCATCGACAGTAGCAACATCATCTCCCTGGCGAATGTATGATTCCAGTGAGGACCCCGGTGACAACTTCGGGATTCTAGAGGGAGGTTAGCCTAGATCTTAGCTTATTAATGTTGAAAAGGTTCCCATACCTAAGAGATGCCAGATCATCAGTCTGGGTGGTTAGGGCATTGGAACCCTTCAGTCGAGTCTCTGCCTCAAGAAGCAACTGCTGGATCTGATCATCAGTCAGGTCTTCCTGAACATCCACACATGTTGAATCAGCCATCCCTGTTGGATAGGGAGGGTAGAAAAAAAACAAGAGCGATTTAAGATGAGGTGGAGAGAATTTATATTTTTTCTTAGCTTTGCTTGCTGCTTCCCGGAGCCGGACAAACGTTTATGAGAAATTTCTGCTTAGTGCGAGAGTGGAGTAAGGGTCATGTGATTGAACATACTTTTGTTTGTAGTACCTGGTACAAACTAATAGTGTTATTTAAGTGGTGGTAACAGAAGTACCCAGTACTTATTATTAAAGTACTCATTAAATGGTACTCATGTATTGAAAGTCAAAGACCCCAAGGGAAATCACCTATCAGAGGTATTTATCTACTAGTTATACTATGTGTGTATACATACATATATACATTCATTGTAATAGAGTAATCCAATGCTTTATA